TTTTCTTATAATAGAATTTAATTGAATTGTTTAAATTATTTATTTAAACAAAATTCGAATTCGAAATTTATTCGAACAACATATTTTACAATGTATCAAGTTCTTTATTATATTGTATAAATTTCCTAGGAAAAATTTCATTTAATTTTTTTCGCTTAAAAGAAAAACTAACTAATAACTTTTACTTCTAATAATCATTGAAAAAGAGAAAGGAAAAGAAAGAAGCAAAATTTATATAACTTCCGTTTCGGAAAGCTAATATATATAATTTTTTACATTTATGCATATCCTGAATCACATATTTGCGTATATGAACGAAGAATTTCAAAGTTGAAATCTCGAAAAGATGTGTGCGTCACTCGTATTACGAACAACCGATACAAATAAATGGAAAATCATTTTCGCACGTGGGTATTCGTCGGCGGGAAAAGTAGGGGAGGCGATTTTCGGTTCGACGAATCGGAACTGTCGTTCATTGGTGGCCGATCATGCAAGCGCATGGCAATATTTAAAGCGACACGAACGTGGATCGCGGGAACGTTTTCCATGGGCATTGACTGACAAACAGAGTTTCTGCCTGCTTTCCATCAACCAACAGTCTTTGCTCGGACATTTGACGGAAAGGAAGACGAGTGTTCCAGTCCACACTGTCTATATTGTGAAACGTGATCGCTATGGTTAACAGTATTAATTCTTTATCATTTTCTGGTGAGTACAATGTTATGTTACTTTTTATTATTCTATTTTTACTCTTAGATATTTTTTTCATTCATATTTTTCTATGAGATATATGGAAGTAAAAATGTGATATTGAAAAAATGTGAAATGTTATTCATGTTATAATCTTTGAAAATATTTTAATAATTTAAAAATTTGTAATTTTTTTTGACATTTTAAAATGGATTTAATTTTTCATTATTGAAATTCTTGTAATCTACATTAAGATGATTCTACGGTAGTTCTATGTATGGTAATTAGTGGTAGTATGGTAATTATCATAAATGTTTAAAATGATGTTTCAATCAGAATTTTGAAGAATATAATTGAGATGATATTGTATAGAATATTAATAATGTTGAATAAAAAATAATTTATTATAAATATATATTACATGTAGTGGTTTCATCAATTATATATTTCTCTCTTTCAATACATAACATTTGAAATGATATTTTTAGATTTAATTAGAATTAGATTTAATAGGAGTCATTTTCAATTCTAGTTTATATGTATTTTATTGGAGCTAAGTCAATATATTCGTAACGTATTGTAAGAAGTATCAAAATCAAAACAAAAAATTATATAAAAGTTGTTTTGAAAAATAACTTTTTGAAATATTTTTCTTTTGTAAAAATATGAAATTTACTTTACAAATAACAATTTTTCTTCATATATAAAAAGTATTTTTATTTATTCTTCGAATGAAAAATCTCATATTAATAATATTGAGATCATTGAATGAAAAATTAATATTATTTGTAAGATGTCGAAAATCTAAACATTTATAGGATTTCATGTTTATTTACATTTAAAGTATCAATTATTTTGAATATGTGATATTTGAAAATTTCAAATTATTCTAGGGTAAATGTGACTGGACTACTTTTGTGTTCAAAATTTGCAATTTTTCATCAAATTTTCATAAAATTTAATTATACAAATCGAATAGTTCGTTTAAAAAAATATCTATTATCTGTAGCTCTTTTAAATAACGTGAAGGTATAAAGATATTAAAAATGGATTAAGTAATAATGTATATCCAATTAAAGAAAGGAAATTATTTAAAGCGCGTA